AGCCAAACAAAAGACAGGCATATGAACTGAACATTTACACTAGGTAGATACACTCCTTGGAGGAACAACCATGGGAGAATAGAAGGGATGTGTATGCACAGGGAGACAGCTCGGGGTGGGGGGGGCAGGAGTGCATGGAGGGAAGGACACAGGGAGGAGGTAACTATGGGGAGGAAGTGGGAGGGGAGCTGTTACATTGTGGGAAATTGAAGTCAATGTCAAGAGACAAAGTGTATGTGAGCTGCTGTATAGAAAATGAATTTGCTCTGTAAACTTTCACCCAAATCTCAATAAAAATTAAAAAAAAAAAAAATTGGGTTAATTGTTCTTTATTCCTGCCATTCCCTTTAAAGAGCCTGCTTTTGGTCATGCAATTAAAAAGTAAAAAAGCTCACGATCCAATTTCAAAGAAAAAAGTCAGCCCTTTATACCCAGGACTCATGAGAATATCCTCTACTATTCTATCCATGTCAAGTGTGACAATTTGTAGTCTGCTGCTCAAAGTTATCATAGTTAGGTGTTTTGGATTTTTTTTTATTTAAAAAAAGACAAAACTAAGAAATAGAGTTTTATCCTTGAAGCACTGCAATTCCATTTATCGAGACTGACAATATTAAAGAAATTTCAACTTAGTTTTGCAGACCAAAACTTTTCCAATAACTGGCTGACCTTCAAAGTGATGGTCCTTTCAGTCAGACTGAATGCAATCTGTTTCTACTGGCGAGTGGACAGGGAGATTTCTCCTCCAAGGAAACCTATAAAACCTATTGCTATGCATTGTCAGGCCACCACTTGATCACAATGGGCCACTGAATTTCAATTATTCTATCCCTGGAGACTGAGTGTCACTGATAAGTTTCCTAATTAAACTAGTAATAATGAAAAAACTATTCTTTTCTTAGTTTACTGGCTCTTAGGTGATCCAGTCAATCTCTGTTGGCCTCAGTCATCTCTCTGTAAAACCAGGAGGTTGGACTGAAATATCTGTAAGATTTCTTTCAAACTTTTTACTTCTTGGATATTCTAATAGAATCAGTAAACCAACTAAACTCACTGCCGTCGAGTTGATTCGACTCCTAGCAATCCCTCCTTGGGTTTCCAAGGTGGTATCTCTACAGAAGTAGATTGCCCAACCTTTCTTCCGAGGAGTGGCTGGTGCATTTGAACTGCCAGCCTTCTGGTTAGCAGTGAAATGCCTTAGGCAATATGCCACCAGAGCTCCCAATAGAATCAGTAGATGTCATTATACTTTGGAATCTGAAGAAAGTTACTTACCTAGAGAGGTGCAGCCCAGGACATTTTCCAAACACTTGACTAGTGCATCAATATCACTGTCCTGCCAAAGAAGGGAGAAAAATTTACTTTACCATTATGGTAGAATAATATCTAGTGATATAGAAAAATGTTTATGCTATATTTTGGCAAAACAAAATAAAATAGGAAAGTAAAAAAAAATCTGGTTGCAAAGTTATTTTATAGTATGGTCACATTTTTTAAAATGTCTATATCCTACATAAGGGGCTCTGATGGTGTAGTGCCTAGGGCATTTCAGTGCTAACCAGAAGGCTGGTGGTTCAAACCCACCAACCACTCCTCAGAAGGAAGACTGGGCGATCTACTTTGGCAGAGATATTGCTTTGGAAACTCAAGGAGGGTTCGATATGAGTCAAATCAACTCGATGGCAGTGACTTTGGTTTTTTGTTTTTTTTTTTGGTGTATCTACATATGTGTGAATATAACTCTCTATCAGTAACCAAAAGGTCAGTGGTTTGAATCCACCAGCTGCTCCATGGGAGAGAAATGTGGCAATCTGCTGATGTACAAATTACAGCCTTAGAAACTCTACAGGGCAGTTCTACTCTCTCCTATAAGGTTATTGTCAGTTGGAATCTACTAAATGGCAATGAGTAGATCAGTCTATAGCTCTATTGTTTCAAAAATCTGATTTATATACACTAAAATGTTAATACTGGTTTTGACAAAAAGGTAGGATTAGGGGTGATCTGTATTTTCTCCTTTGTGTGCTTATATCTTTTCTAATTTTCTAAAATAAATAATTTTTAATCTAAAAAAAACAGTAAACATTAGAATTTTAAGTTTTATTCAATCTATAATATACTCAATTCAACAGGACTTAAGTAAACGTTTTTCCTAGAGAGTGTCTCCACTAGTTCTTCAGAAATTTATGGTCCTCAAGAAGTCATATATCTACAAATTGCACTCCTCATTTACCTTGACACATTATAAGAGTCACCATGAAGGTTGGGTGGGATTCACGAACTGTATCTGTTAAGAACTATTCACCTTTTAAAAGGAGCTCTAGTGGTACAGTGCCTAAGGCATTTGACTGCTAACCAGAAGGCTGGCAGTTCAAACTCACCAGCTGCTCTATGGAAGGAAGATGGGGCAATCTACTTCTGTAAAGATTTACCGCCTCAGAAACCCATGGGGGTTGCTATGAGTTGGAATTGACTCAATGGCACTGAGTTTGGTTTTGGTTTGGTTTATTACCTTTTATACTAAATAAATACCTGTACTCCACTCAGCAGCTAGAAATATAAAAAATAATATCATGATCTAGGAAAACAGGACTTCTTAATTGTGCCATAATTTCAGGTCTGTGGTTATACTGGGAAAAATTAATAATTTATGGATCACCTGCTCCATTTCAAAACAAACAACACATTTCCTATTGCAGTAATTGTCTGTGGATACTAGGAAAATGTACTGTAGTATGCTGGACTACAACATTCTGCAAATGTGCCAGATAGTGCCTAAGGCACTTGACTGCTAAATAGAAGGCAGGCGGTTCCAACCCACTAGCTACTCCTCAGAAGGAAGGTTGGGCAATCTACTTCCATAGCGATACCACCTTGGAAACCCAAGGAGGGGTGTCTATGAGTCGGGTCCAACTTGATGACAGTGCATTGTGTTGTTTGTGTTGTGTGGTTTGGGCAGTGATTTTTTTATGCATATGGTAAAACCCTACTGTCATTTCATATACTCAGAAATTATAGAGGGGCAATATTGAGGAATGTGTGCCTGGTCAATGCATCCCCAGATTCTCCAAACTTGCAGGAACCACCTTGAATCAGAGGTGAAGAACTCAGCAAGGAGAAAAAGCAGAATACACATCTACATATGAGGGGGATGAAACCAACCAGGGGCGTTGGGTTCTAAGCCTGGCTCCTCCACTAACTGTGACGGCCTTGGATCTGTAGCCTGACCTACCAGGTTTAGTTTCTACATCTGTGAAATAAGGGGTTTGAATCAGATAATAAGTAAGAAATCTTCTAGTTGTAAAACCCTATTCTTTGGCTAAAGAGCTAGATGGTCAGCTAGTGTAATAGAATATTTTCAAAGATGGTTACAAGCCCTACCATCCCTATAATCCCATGTCATTCCTCATATCAAGAGGTGGGCTCTCTTTTCCCACCTCTTGAATCTAAGCTGGCTCTGTAACTTGCTTTGGCCAATAGAATATGGCAGCAGTGACACTATGACTTTGATAACTAGGCCTTAAGATGTCTGATAGCTTCCATTCCATTCTCTTGGAAGCCAGCAACCATGTAAAGAAGTCCAGGCTATCCCACTGGAGAGATGGCACAGTGAAGAGGCCCTGGAGCATGAGAGGCCACGTGGAGAAACCAAGGTGCCCAGCCAACAGCCAGCACCAACTGCCAGACATGTAAGTGAAGCCAATTTGGTCTGCCCAAGCCAAATTTCTAGTTGAATGCAGCCACCTGAGTGACTTTAAACAATATGACATGAGCAGAAGAACCATCTAGTGAGCCCAGGCAACACACACAATTGTGAGAAACAATAAATTGTTGTTTTAAGTCACTAAGTTTTAGGGTACTATGTTACACAGCAAAAGAAACACATAATGAACAAATTGAGGCCATTGACCAAGTCTTTTCCATTTTTATGTCCCTAGCACTGAGCCTAGCTCTTGGTGCTATGCTAAATGTACATCTGTGCAGATCTCTTCTAGCTTCTGGGACTTGCAAGGAAGTGAAACAGCAGAGTAGTATCAACTCCTTGTGGACTACAATCTACATCCAGTTGGACAGCCAGGTTCTCTCAAACTGAAAGCACATTGTTGCTGGGAATGGGGAAGGAAAGCATGCTACAAGTCAGCTAACCTCTTCAAACCTCAGTTTCCTCCATTGTAAAGTGAGAAGAGTAATAGCTTCTATCTCACACAGAACTCTTATGAGAAGCAAATGAAATGATACAGATAAAGCTCTTAGTACAGGGCCTGGCTCATTGTGAACACTCAAATGGGAGAAGAGAACTGGATGGGATGGGATGAAATGGGAGAGGGACAGAGGCATAGAGGATTAAACATGAGTCCGAAACACTGTGCCTGCCACAAAGCATGGAGATTCTCAGTGTTTGCTGAGTTGACTCAATGTTTGTTGAGTTGATTAAATCAAAAGACACAGAACCAGAGACAAGGCTGTAGATTCATCTGGCTGGCTGGGACACATCAAGTATGCTTTCTAATACAAATCTCAGGGAGCACTGTACACGGGCACATGGAGGGCAGAAGTAATTCTAATACTACTGGATGAAGACTGGGTGAATGAATACTACTTTTTATTAAACTAGTAAGTGGGCTATTGTTGCATCAATTCACATGTATTAATTCATTTAAATTCTATGAGCTGGGCACTATTATTATCCTCATTTAACCACTGAGAAAACTGAGGCACAAACAGGTTTCATAATATTGTCAAGGTCACACAATCAGTAAGAGATAGCACAGGAAGTTATGTGTCCAGAGCCTGAACTTGTCTTAGCCACTGTATTACACTTATCTATAAAACTAATAAAAGGCAGGAATCCTAACCCAGAGGAGCTCATAATATTGTTGGAACCAGAGCATAAGCTCATGAAGAACCAAGAATAATTCTTGGACTTATATTGCCACAAGGGTAAGTCATTTTTTCTCCCTTAAGGCTGCAGGTCAAGGTATTAAGACCAAAGCTGCTAACTATACTAATTTTTTTAAAAAAATTCTGAAACAATTTCAGACTTATAGAAAAGATGCAAAACAGTATAAAATTTCCCATACACCCTTAACCTCGATGTCAATATTTTATGACATTTATAATTCTCCCATCTGTCCACAGCATGGTTTTTCAACTTCAGCATTATTGACATTTCGGGTTGGATATTTCTGTCCTGTGCATTAAGGTTGCTTAGCAGTTTCCCTGGTCTCAACCTACTAGATGTCAGTAGCATCCCCTTCCCACCCCTCTGACTCTGAGTTGTAACAAACAACAATGACTCTTGACATTAACAAATGTCTTCTGAGGGGCAAAAATCCCGCTTAGTTGAAAACTACTGATTTGCATATATCTCCGTATCTATATGTACATATATATTTTTTTCCTATAAGTCAAATCTGGAATAATCTGAGCATCAAAATAATTAATAATATTAATGGATTATAAAGCATAGGATAAAGAAGTCACTATCTTGTAGCACTTAAATAGAATTTTCTTTTTTGAAAAAAAGAGAACTCATAACAAAGATCAGGTTCTACATTTTTAACATTAAAAATAGTTTAGAAAAAGAGTTAAAGCTTTTGTTTTACTGTATTGTCATTTATCAGTCAGCTCTTTCCTAGGTTTCAGAAACTGTCATTTAATTTAACATAATCATCCCAGCAGAAATATACCCATTCCCATGAGAAAAGGGGGACAAAAACAGAAATGAATGCCAACTCCTTTTAAAGATGGCTACTGATATTCTGCATGGTGTTTGTACTTGAACAAGAAGTTCAGTCATGGAAGACATCTTTCAGGACCACATTATGGCATGCAGAGATTATGCTGTTGACTGAAAACTTTTGCATCCCCTCATTGTTTCACAATTTAAATTGAACTTTGCCAGAGCTAAGTGTCCTAGGAGAGCAAACACACCTCTAGATGCCAAATTACAATGATGCCAGTCTTCAGTCATTTCCGCCAAGAGCCAGGAAACTGACTTTCAAATGCTATGAAAATAACATAATGACTCCTTTGCCAATGAATTTAGATGCCGTCCATCAAGTCTCTTTCCCCCATAACTGTGAACCCATTCATAACTGGGACATGCCTTGGAGCCATGAAGAACATTTTTTAAGATTTAGTTCTAAAAACAACTGCCCATACATTCAAGTTCAGTCAAATACCCAGGTGTTTTATTTTATTTTATTTTATTTTTTTAAAGCAGATGCAGTCCTTTGGCTAATGAATTAAAAATTGCTACTAAGGGGTAAAGAATATTTGTTGTTAAGTATTTATAAGTATTTTCTAGTCAGATTCATAATAGGCATGTTGTTG